CGCTATTCAATAAAGATGGACAAATTGATTGTTTTTGATGAAGTTTAAGTAGGCCTTTCCTACAATGGTAAATATTTTAACAGAATTAGTATAAATGTATTGTAAACATTATTATTATTACAACCGCAACTCGAACCCGGTATTTTTCGCATCCAGGGCGAACGTCTTAGCCACTTGACTACGAAGGCATTTTGGTGATTCAAGCGCCAGGTAGAAAGTTTTTTCCATGCCTTATATATTCAAAAAAAATTTTTAAACAGCGTTCTTCTGTACAGTACAGAACGTAGCATACAGTAGTGTGGAAACGTATAGTCGAAACAGCAGGCCAATGTAAATAATGGGTTTTAAATGTTACGATTTTAAAAATACATCAAATGACGCTGACATTATTAAGGCTGTTTTTTTTTTTTTTAATACCAATAACACATGCAACAGTATTAATATTTAGAAAAAGAGTACCAACATTTTTTTTTTCTTTTTTTCATTGAACGTATTAAACTTGATTTATTAATTTGTTTATAATATAATTTGTTTATAATATAATGAAAATGAAACAATGTGTAACAGGAAATTCAGTTACAGACGAATAAAGTGTTATCTTAATTACAATATATTACGCTTATATTGTCAACTTAAGATACAAAATTAAGAACTCAATAGTACCAAAAAAAGACATCACAAACGCTACAAACACCGGAGCGACTAGGGGATTCACTCCCACAACCCCAACCAGGGCCAGTCGCAGCCCCTGGCCCCCAGCGTATGGCTCGGGCCTTCCATCCCTTCGTTGCGCCACTGATTCTTTGTAGTTCCGCATTTACAATTTTTGCACCCCACTCCCCGATGGGAACCTCCCTGCACCCCTGAATACATGAAACAGGGAATGAACTATTAAATACATTTACTGCAAACGACTTGTGCACATGTCTCTTAAATGTAATAAAATCAAACAGAGTAGGCATTAAAGGGGGGTTTTTTTCCACGTGCGTGGAATTACGACTACAAGACATTACTTTTTTGTTTAAAGTTCCATTCATGTGTTTTCTGTTTATTTAGCCCTACATCAAAAACTATATTAAGCCACTGTTACAAAAAGTGTACGCTGTTGGTTGTGAATTGGCCATTGAAAAATAAGGTGGCCCGGTAGCATTTTGAATAGGGGATAATATCACAAAAGAAAAATTGTAAATGACTATAGTCCTGTTCTTATGTGAATTTTCTCAATTCTCAGGTGTTCGTGTAATAACTGTCAACGTACCTTGAGTTTTATATATGAAAAAAAAAATAAAAAAAATAATAATAATAGTGTATTGTCCAAGTACATTATTGCTATCGTAGCCGTTGTTGCTATATTAGTGTCATCATTATTGCTATCGTTATTTTCAAACACCTTTACCAATATCGTTATTTTTATTGTTGAATTGATTTAATAAAAAAACACCATGATTTTTAATAAAACAGTAGGCTAATGTCATGCATGCTACAGGATTTATTATGTAAATAATTACTGAATTATTAGAGTATTAGATGCTGTATACAAAACAATTATTAAAAAATTGTAGATTCTCATTATATATATTTTTTTTTTTGCATTTGAATTGTGATTTCCTTTTAAAAACATCACCTGTTTTTGTATGATTTAAAGTTCAAGAAAATAATATTATTATTATTACAATTTATCACAATTATAAACAATCATGCATTAATTAAAAATAATTGATATGATAATAGAATTATTCATAACTTGTGGATTATCACTTACAAATATCGAAGACTAGTCAAACCACTGAATACACCTTGGTTTAGTTCAGTTATTTGGTTATCTTGCAAGTTCCTTTCAAAAAAAGAAAAAAATAAACAATATTTAATTAAGCAAAAGTAAACTATAAATTAATAATGTTGCCAGTTGTATGTTGCCTTTAATTGGCGATGTGTTTTTATCCTTTTTCACCTGATTTTTTTTGTAATGAACTCCACTCTTTATGCCTGAGAACAGCATTTATTCTACAGGGGCGGATTTAGGGGGGGGGGGGCGGCCCGGCCCCGGGGATTCCCCCTTTTGGGAAGTAAAAAAAGAAAAAAAAAAAAAAAGAGGGAAAAAGAAAAAAAGAATAGCCCAGAATGTCTCAAATGTTATGTTAGGGCGTCTAGAACACAAAAATTTCGCGGGGGCATCCCCCTACACCCCCTACGACAGTGTTGTCTCAATCGGCCCAACTTCCGGCCCCCCCCCTTTTGGACATTTCTGGATCCGCCGCTGTTCTATGTAGTACCATGTATATAGTCTGTATAGTGAAAAGTGAAATTATGTTGGTAATAATATTATTACAACTATGTATACGCCCTATTGAGCATAGAAGGTTGCACTTTGTGCTGGTTTGCTGTTGTATGTTATCCATTGATCAGGGGTAATAACGATCAGCGCCTTTGATCATTGATTTGGTTTGCAACTGGCGCTTTACAAAAAATAAATAAATAAAAAAATAAAAAATATTAATATTAGTATTATGTCCAAGTCCATTATTGCTATCGTTACAGTTGTTGCTATGTGTCATCATTATTGCTATAGTTATTACAATCACCTTTAATTAATACCGATATGGTTATTGTTATTTTTGAATTGATTTAATAAAAAAAAAAACACCATGATTTTTAATCATCATTACACATTATTAAATATTGTTTGTAACCGATAATTGAGCTGTAATCAGTATGTAACCAACAATATGATGCTCCTTTTACATGCATATAAATTCATTGCGATTAATATTTTACGTGAAATAGGTATTGTGTGAACAGAATAAATGGCGTGAAATTAATTATTTGTAAAGTTAAACATTCTTTGTATGGAATCAATCGTCATTACACCGATAATATATATGATTTTCACAACCTTTTTTATTTAATACTCGTCATGTGGTCGATCACGATATTCATTTCGAATGATATTCGATAACCCATGAGGTGTATATTGATGTTTGAGGTGACCCCGTTTACGATGGACGTGCGATGTAACTGGCGGTCAAAAATACAAAACATCTTACTAACCAGCAATAAGTCCTACTCGCGAACTTTCAAATCCCACAACGGTACACCCATTACTTCGCCTCATGTTATTTCCTTGCAGTTTGATATTTGCTAATAAATGTTCATCTGACTCTCCTTTTTCTATCCCGCATTCATGTGCCCCACCTCTTGCATGACTTTCTAAATATCACCCCATCTGACGTTCTCTCTGCATCTAAAAATCATAATAACTCTAAATCTCGAAGTCCTGACTCTCTTCGTAACTTTGTTATTAAGCTGTTTATTCGTGTGCTCCTTTCCAGGCTAAATTTTTTACTCTTTCTGTTATTACCATTGTTGTATTCCTGCAGATTGGAAGGAAGCCTGTGCATCCAGTTCATAATTCATCTGATAAAATTAATTTTCATAATTATCACCCTGTGTCTGTCACTTCTCCTTTATGCAAACTCCTTGAAGGTGTCATATATGATCGACAATGTTGTGCAGTCTAATCTTTCAAACTTTCAATTTGGTTTTTGTTTTCAACGATCTACATCTGATTCTCTTAATTATATTTTTCATCTGCTATTTAAATACAGTGATGCCAAACTTTGTACTCGATTACTTTCCCTTGTTTGTTTGTTTATTAGATTTTTTCCACACATGCATATACATAACAATCAATAAATCAAATTAATCATTATACAAAATTACAAAATTAGGCAAAATAGTATAAGGTATATACAAAAAATATTACAAGATAATATAATAAAACCAAAAGTTCCACTGATTAATCTCAGATAAGATAGCATAATAAACATTCCCAGCATCAAAACGCACACCACCGTACAGGGACCTAGGAACCCAACATCCCAACACCAATCAATTCCTGATGACGACACAAGCAGTGCCGAAACACCGAATCCCCACACAATCGTGCCCACCCCGGCACCTGGAGTATGCATTACGCCATCTGATGTGATAATACATAATAATATAAAGGATTAGAGTATAAGAGTGCAATGTTTAAAGAAAACATGTTAAAAATTTAATATAAAGTATTGCTTAAAGATTGGGCTATAATTTGATTAACTAAAGAAAATGCTTAAATTACATTAATTACATTAGATGGTGATGCAAGTGTGCATGGAGTTTAATATAAGTTCGCAGAACTTAAGTTAAAAACCCCAATTAAAATCTAATTAACTATGACATTATGGTAAGAGTGACTTTAATAATATTATTATTATTAAAATTGTTATCATTATTAATATTATTAATAACTATAACAATAATTATAGGTGTAATTTTCCCCAACCTGACATAAAAATGTACTGAATATTCAGTATGTGTGAAAACAACTGCGAAAAAAAAAAAAATATCGCAATTTGGCATCAATTTTGTGGTAAAATTTTCTCTAAAAAAACCTTGTTTAACTTGCTAGAAATTATTATTCTTCTTTACTTGATTGAATTAGGATACAATTTATAAAACGTGTTAACAAGAAGGACAAAATAATGTAGAAAAGCAAATTTGCAAAGGTAAAATAAGCCTGTTCCTTGGTGATCCTCTTTGGTCGTTCTCCTCAAGTAGTCATATTAAAATCATATGTTACAATTTCCAACCAAGTTTTATATATAGACTTGCATTGTACTTGATGATTTTATTTTAATGATTTTTACAATTAAATAACGACTGCTGTAGAAACACGAAGAAAGCCATGCAACAGAATTATAATTATTAATATTATTTATACAATTTTATTTTTACAATTTTTTGAACATGACTGTTGTTGGGGAGAAGGGAGAGGTGGGGAGGTCTTGATCCATTTCAAGAAGGAATTAATCACATTGGACCCATGTTGATTTCATCTAAATTTTAATTTGCAGAACGTAGTTAATTAGAAACTTTATAATATATCCTATCATTAATGCATCAAATACATTATAATAAATACCGTATTTACAAGTTTGTATTGCTTAATTGTAAAATTGCAGATACTGAAGCAAAGGCTGCTATTTGGCCAATTCCACCTATATGTTGAAAAGAAGATAATCAAGTTTTCATGTACAAGGTAATTTATGATTGAAAAATGATTATTGCTGTAATTGAAAAATGTTTAATTCCCTGAATGTTTCACATCCAAATCCCTGTGCCAATATATAAATGGTCCAGAGCAAAATTCTTTTCTCATTACCATCCACTTCCTTAGCCCCATCACAAGCACCTTGTGTTTATGTTTGTCTTTTAAAGTCAGGCTTCGGAGGAAAAAGAATTTTTGATATGTTGTAGAACTGATTTTTCTAAGACAAAAAAAAGTTGTTTGACGTAAAACTGGGGAACGGTGAATGAAATACAGATTTTTGAATATTTTACTGGGGTAAAACGGGACATAACCGCCTTTTTTTACACCTTTTTTCCCCCAGTTTTAAAATCAGTTCTACAACACATCAACAATTTTTTTTCCTCCGGAGTCTAAGTTTAAAAGGGGTTGTCACTTTAAAAGACTGATGTATTCACTTTGGCAATCCATGGCCCTTGTGCCTAAATAAATAACAAAGTAAATAAATTTTAA